ATGTACACATTTTATCGTCATTAGAATTCTCTATTAAATATTACTTTGTTCTTTCACTTACGTGTTAAATTACCAGGTTGTAAGTATATAGTTCATTCATATAAAAGTGTATACATTTTATCATCGATAGTATTCTCTATTTAATGTTACTTCTTTTTCTTTCACTTACGTGTTAAATTACCAGGGTGTAAGTATATAGTTTATTCATAAAATAATTTACACATTTTATCGTTAATAGAATTCTCTATTAAATATTACTCCTTTGTTCTTTCACTCACGTGCTAAATTACCAGGACGTAAGTAAATGGTATATTCATATAATAGTGTATACATTTATTATCGATTGTATTCTCTATTTAATGTTACTTCTTTTTCTTTAACTTACGTGTTAAATTACCAGTCCGTAAGTTATAGTTTATTCATAAAATAAATTACACATTTTATCGTTAATAGAATTCTCTATTAAATATTACTCCTTTGTTCTTTCACTCACGTGCTAAATTAACAGGACGTAAGTATATGGTATATTCATATAATAATGTATACATTTATCATCGATAATATTCTCTATTTACTTCTGTGTTCTTTTACTCACGTGTTAAATTATCAGGGAGTAAGTATATAGTTTATTCGTACACATTTTATCGTCATTAGAATTCTCTATTAAATATTACTTTGTTCTTTCACTTATGTGTTAAATATTACTTTGTTCTTTCACTTATGTGTTAAATTACCAGAATGTAAGTATATAGTTTATTCATAAAATAATGTACACATTTTATTGTCATAGAATTCTCTATTAAATTAATTCTTGGTTCTTTCACTTTAATTACCAGCATGTAAGCATTCGTTTATTCATAAAATAATACATTTTATCATCATTGGAATTCCCCATTAAAGACTGTTTTCACTTTAATTTACCAGTACGTAAGTATAGTTGATTCATAAAGTAATGTACACATTTTATAATCAATAGAATCCTCTTTCACTTATGTGTCAAATTATCAGGGAGTAAGTATATAGTTGTTTCATGTTATAATGTATACATTTATCATCAATAGATTTCTCTATTAGATATTACTTTTCCGTTTAAACTAACAGGGAGTAAGTATATAGTTAACTCATAAAACAATGTACACAACCAAATTCTCTTAATAAATATTATACATATAACTTTCCGTTCTTTTAAATTATCAGTCAGTAAGTATATGGTTTGCTCATAATATAATTTATGCATCTTATCGTCAATAATTGTCTATTGAATATTGCTCTGTTATTTCATTTACGTATTAAATTACTAGACGGTAATTATAGGTTATTCATAAAATAGTGTACATTTTAATCGCTAATGAAATTATATATTAATTATTACTCCAAATTACTAGACGGTAATTATAGATTATTAATGATGTACAGTTAATTGTTGATAGAATTCTTACCACTTTTGTGCTAAATAATCAGGGCGTAAGTATATAGTTATAATAATACACTCATTTTATCGTCAATAGAATTCACTATCAGCTAATGCATATTGTTACACTTTTTTTCACTTACGTGTTAATTTATTAGCTTGTAAGTATACGGTTTATTATGTACACATTTATCATCAATAGAATTCTCTAATATTACTTCACTGTTCTTTCACTTTAAATTACAAGGGAGTAAGGATATAGTTTATTCATAAATAGTGTTCACATTTTGCCGTCAATATAATTTTCTGTTAAGCATTATTTCTCTATTCTTTCTCTTATGTGCTAAATTACCAGGATGTAAGTATATAGTTTATTTATAAAGCAACGACACATTTTTATTGTCAATAGAATTCACATTAAATATTAACTTTGTCATCACTTGTGTTAAACTACTCAGTCACAACAACTGGCTTAAAGAGTACAACTTGAATGACATTCCTTATTATAGTTTGACATACAAAGAAAGATTAGGACGTGGAGGCTTTGGAACAGTATATCGAGCAAATTCTCTTTCGTTAGGTTACGTGGCCATTAAGGAAGTAGATTCAGAAAGAGATGAAAAGGCTCAGAAGATTTTTAGAAATGAGGTATATTATTTAATATCTATACAATTATTATTATTTATCTGTTTTCTAAGGTATAATGGCATTTTTAGTTAAAACATCTCAGTAGATCTAATCATGAATATATTATTAAATTTCATGGGATTAGTTTCGGTAAGTTATTTATAATTGTACATCATGAGTTTTTAGCAAATTATTTAATCATTATTTAAAAATTTTATTATAAGACATGGAAGATAAAGTGCATTATATTGTAATGGAATATGCAAATAATGGAACTTTGCGAAACTATCTACAAAATAATGAATTAGAATGGCCAAAAAAATTCCAATTAGCGAGCCAAATAGTTGAAGGAATGCTTCATCTTCATAGCCTAGAGATTACACATCGAGATTTGGTAATGATTTAAAATTTTTTAATTATAGGCGTTAAAAAGTTATCAAGTTATTTACAAGCATATTATCTGCAATTTAGCACACTTTGAATATTCTTATCCATGATGGAAATATTAAAATTTCAGATTTTGGACTTTCAAAAAATCTTAACAGCATAGCAACTAGCAGTAAAGGATTTTATGGTGTAATCCCTTTTATTGATCCTTGTAAACTTCAAGATCAAAAGTATCCGTATGATAAAAAGTCTGATGTATATAGTGTTGGTGTGTTGATGTGGGAAATTTCCAGCAATGGACGACCTCCATTTGATCAAACTTACGGCTATTGTCTTCCACTTAGAATTATTCAAGGCCTACGTGAAGACCCAGTTATAGGAACGCCTAAAAAATATATCAATCTTTATTCGAAATGTTGGGATTATGAACCAGATAAACGTCCTTTAATGACAGAAATTCAACAACAATTACACGTCTTGGAATTGAATCCTAAATATGATGGTATTAATTAGGAATTTTTTTAAACAATGTTGAACTTAAATGATAATAAAGTTTATATTTTATTTGATGTTTAATATATGAATGCATGACAATTGCACTTATTGTATTGAATTGATGCTGATTTTACAAAATTAAATAATGGTAGTGAAGTTATTACATACAGTGTTGTTACTGCAAATTGATTCAAATTTGGTCTGAGGTCCTAATTTGAATTTTAGCAAATTGAGGTTAATTTTAAAATTGAATATTTTGTCGAATTACAACAATTTAGCAAATTACCTGTATTTTGCAAGAATCATATCCAAAAATAAGCTACCTCATTTTTTTGAACCACTATGACTTTAAAAATTTAAGAGAAAATGCTTAATTTTGGATTTTTGATCAAAAAATCCAAAATAAAGCATCTCTTAAATTTTCAAGAAATATAAAATTAAATATGCCAGCATAATGTATTTTTATGTGCTGAACGAGTTTTCTTTGAGCACAAGTTAGAATCAATTAGTAAAATTTTGAAAATCATAGTATTTTTATTAATAAAATTATATAAAATATTATAATTCTTAAAATTTTACTAATTGATTCTAACTTGTGTTCTAAGAAAACTTGTCAAGTACCAACGATTTGATAAACCATACATTTTAACTAATATACTTTTTTTTTTCTAATATACATTTCTATAATCTAAATGGTAGCATGTAAGTAAATTCTTTGCTTGTTAATTTTCTATATTATTTATATATATACATTATTATTAAATTAAATTGCCCTCTTTTTATAATTCAATGTTATACTAATTCGCTAAATGGTACTGTACCTCTAATAAAATTATAATTGAATTACTTAATTCGTTCTCCATATTAGTTCGTAGTGCGATTTCTTTCTACTTTTGTTTCATTCTTATACATTATTGCATTACTAGAGAGTAAGTTATTATTTGTTAATCGTTTATGCTAACTTATGATTTGAATAACACTTTTATGAAAATTTATAATAGAAAATCGTAAGTATATTTTTCAACACTAAGATTTTGTCTTAGTGATAACTTACTAATATATATATATTGTTTTCTACATTTGATTATTGTCTTAGCGCAAAAAAAATGGTAAGTTGAATTATTTTGAAAATTAGTGCTTAATAACTATACTAGGAATCGGGAACCGATATAAGTAATATCCCTGACTGTACCGGTAATCAATTGTTGTTTTCAAAATAGTTTGTAATCACGCGTCACGCGGCGGGACAG